TTTTTTTTTTAAGACAAAGTATCACTATGCAGCCTTGGTTGGTTCGGAACTTGCTGTGTTTACCAGGCTGACACTGATCACTAAAATCTGGCTGCCTCTGCGGCCTGAGGGCTGGGATTAAAGGTGTGAGCCACAGACTGGGGAGGCGCAGTTACTACAGGACCAGCAGCACTTCTTGTTTTTTTCAGAGGACCCCCGTTCTACTCTGGCTGTTAATAACTGTCTGTAACTCCAGTAACTTCTTTTCTAGTCCTTGAGGGCACCTAGAGTGCATATACTGCACATATATGTATATAGAACCAAACCCATACACATAAAACCAAAAGACTGTGTCTTAAGAAAGTAAACATGAGATTCACCTTAGCGGGCCATATGTCTGGCAGAAATAAGGGCAGAGTAGAGGGGAAAGAACTTGCTTGACATCTGGTGGCCACCTTAAAGGAGAAGAAGAAAGCTGGAGGTGGAGGCATGGTGCTGAGCATACAGGTGTATCAAAGACGACACTGTTTGCGGAAACAAGCAAGTCCCCCTACAGGATCCCTTTGATTAGAAGCCAGCAAGCCAGCCAAGGGAAAGGAGGGCTGAGCTTAGATAGAAGCTGAATATCCTGTGTGCATCAGGGCCTTTGATCAGGATGTAGGCCAAAAGGAGGAGGTATGATATTGTTAATTTGGATCAGGAGGCCTTACAGTGAATTTGTCCTTGGCTATTAAAACAAAACAAAACAAAAAGACAGAAACTAAAGGCAAGAAATAACAAATGCTGTTGTGAAGAAAAACATGAATTCCCTTGCACTGTTGATAGGGATGAAAATTAGCATAGCCATTATGGAGAACAATATGGAGGCTCCTCAACAAAAGAGAAATGGAATTCATAATATCCAGCTGTCTTACTTTTGGACATATATGCAAAGGAAATAAAATCAGCATACCAAAGGGATATCTACATCCAGATGTTGATTGTGGCATTATCACAATAGCTAAAATACAGAATCAACCTAGGTGCCTATCAACACATGAATGGGTAAAGAAAATGTGGTGAATGTGCACAATGGAGTATTATTCTGCAACCAAGAAAATGAAAACCTTTTATTTTGCAACAAAATGAATGGAAATGTGGGACATTATGTTAGGTGAACTAAGCCAGATGCAGAAATGCAAGTAGAACATATCCTCTTTCACAAGTGCATGCTTTTAAAGAAAGGGTGACCCAAATGCAGAATAGTGATTGCTGGAGATGGAGGAAGGGTAGCTTAGATAGAGAGGCTGGATTTGTATAGTGTATGCCATGCCATGAAATATTATCTGAAACTCACTAATGTGTATAACTTAAGCACGCTAATCAGAAAGGAAACAGAGTATTCCTCCTTAGACAAGTCACTTCAGTCTCTTTTCCTCAGTTTCCCCATTTACAAAGTGAAATTAATAACAACACTTCATAAAATGAGTGTGATGATTTAATGAGATAACATGCACTGAATACATTTATATAATGTGTGGCCCATGGGTGAATGGTGAACACGACTATAATTACAGAGATAAAAGTATGACCATATGACCATATTTATTAAATGGTAGCTACTGAATTTTGACATCTTAGAAAAACTCTATTCTCTTAGCTTTGGCTAAGGATGAAAAAATGGGACTTGGCAGGTCAGGCAGTTAGCTCAGGGTTCTGGGTAGAGTCTCTGTACATAGCAGTAATAGAAAAAGTAAGTTTTGATGAAAATAGATTACTAACAGCTATTTACACATTCCACATTACCCAAGGGCGGGAACACTTTCTATGTATTTGATGGATGGGCATATCTTCTTTCTCCTTCATGAATGTGATAGTCCTGGATCAGGTCTCTCAGTGTGGTTTGGTATCATAGAAAAGCAGAAAATGGGGTGAGAAAGAGTCAGTTTCTGGATTGCTATGCACTCCCTAATGCATCTTGAACCGAACAAGTCCTTCACTTGGAAAGGGAGTCCACTGCTACTTAATTTCAGCCCAGCTTTCAGAGTTTGAACTCTTTGGTGGGACTGATGGCCAGGGGGCGGGGTTATATTGTCTTCTGCTCTCTGGAAATACAAATAGAGCCATTTATTTCGTCCCCAGAAAGTCCACTGGTAGTTGTTATTTTATATGGAGGCTGGTGATATCTTTGACTTGGGAGTTGCTGCCCAGACCTGAGCCCTTTACAAAATCATAATTTTTTGTGCTTCTAATCACGTTTTCTTGTTGGTATCCCTTCTGACTCTTCCTCAGGCACACGCATTGCCCTCATGAAACCTTTCATTGCTTACTTGATCTCAGGAAGAGACAGGACCTATACCTTTAAACTGTCATTAGGTAACTAACAGCTCAAATCACATTTGTTTCAGAACTGGGAAGAAAATGTTAAAGGAAGAAATACATGGGCCACATGGCAAAACCTGACTCTGAGTGCTGGCATTTTATGATAAGTTTATGTATGTTTTTCTTATTTGTACATTTTTTCCTTGTTTAGATTCAACTGACTATTAAAATAGCCACTTCCTCAGTATCTTAATCCTTCATGAAGCACTGATAAAGAGCACAACTTTTCCTGGGTTAGCTGTGGCTCTTAACCTCTGAACTAGAATAAACACGGAATAATTTTCTAGTGATATTTGCTGACAGCCACATTCCTACCAAGGCTGAGGCAGCTTGTGGTACCCATTAAAGGAGAAGATAAGTGTCTCCAGTGGTTTCTCTTCCTAAAGTCTTTATCCCTATAACAGAGGCCTTCTAAAGGGACAGTTCTAAAGTAGAGATTTCTTTTTCCAAGACAGGGTTTCTGTGTATCCCTTGATGTGCTGGAACTCGCTCTGTAGACCAGGCTGACCCTGAACTCACAGAGATCCTCTTGTTTCTACCTCCTGAGTACTGGGATTAAAAGTGTGGGCCACCATCACCTGGCTGAAGTAGAAATATTACAAATGAAATGAAATGTATTTTCTATTCTTTACTCCTTGGAAAAACTTGGGTATTTGTGCCATCAGTTTGCCCAATATTAACACCCAATTGGATTCATTTCCAATCCAATGCTGTAAATATACAAACAGGAAATTCCAGAGCAGCAGGGAGGATTCAGCCTGGTTTGCTTCGACTGCAGATGTGTGAGATGATGTAGGCCCCATTCAGGCCACCTACTCAGGCCCTTAGTGACAGGAATCAAGGTATTTTGTTCAGGTGCGGAAGTAGGGAGTATTAAAACTCAACCTGCTACCAGCAGGTGGTGACGAAAAGCTAGAGTTGATGATTCTTATTCTTGCTAGAAAATGTCACCCCGCTCAGTGGGGCACCCTGAAACCCTGTATTAGATGACAAGAAAATTTTAACTTTTTTTCTGTCACTAGGATTAATTAACTGCTAGATACTAAGTGAGATAACTACAACTGCCTTTGCAGGCAGAAAAAGAAACCTTTTAGATCCCATGTGTGTCTTATCCCTGGTAGAGAACAGACTAGGTGTGAGCATAAGTCATCTCTAAGTTCTTCCTCTAGTTGGATTTGAATGAAGGTGGACTTGGAGGGGAGAAAGGGAAAAAGGGAGAATAGGAGAGAGAGAGAGAGAGAGAGACTATGAGAGGCAAGAAATGAAGCTGAACTATATTGTATTGTTCTGTTTCCTGACACCAATGGGATTGAATTTCAGAGCTAGGACGGACCTTGCTGTGCTATCCTGATTTGTAAACATAGGCTCACAGCGCTGGCAATGGTATTACTCACCACCAATGCAACACATCACTTTTGAGATGAAGAATCAGAGGTCTAAGAAGGGGAAATAAGGTACCCAAGCTGACTTGATGATAAAAGACAGCCCCAAGACTACAGTCCTTGGTTTTTAATTTTTTCTACTATACTCCCATTTCCCTTATAGTTAGTCATTTAAGCATCTATGACCTAAAGTACCCTCGCAGACAATTTTACACCTTAAAAAAAATCCCCAATGGCAAAAATTCTACAAATTCACCTTTGTGTCACCGTGAGAAAGTATAGGAGAAAAATCAAATTATAAAGAGAAAGATTTATTGTGGCTCATGACTTCAGTCAATGGTTGCTTTCAGCTGGTGGCAGACCAGCACAGCAGGGCAGGTGACCATGACAGCAAGAGAGCAAGGAGGAAGAGAAAGGGGGTAGCATCCTATAATCCTTTCCAAGAGTATACTTCCCAATGACCTAACTTCCCATTAAACCCCACTTACTAAAGGCTCTATTACCTCCCAATAGCACTAAAACTTAAGCAATGCAAGATTCAAAATGTCATGGTGCATGCCTACAACCACAGTACTCCAGAGGTTGAGGCAAGAGGACTGGGAATTAGAGACCAGCCTGGTCTATACAATGACACCTGTCATAAAAACAATAAGCTCAATCGAAGAAGATTGATCTGACGGTAGAGTACACTTACTCATCTCTACTTTAACAAGAAATAGCTCCTCTTATTAACTGATTATTATAGTGCACTTCTGTAATTTCAGGACCTGAGATATGGAGGAGTTCAGGGTCATTCTCAGCTACACAGTGAGTTTAATGCAACTTTAAACATTATGAGACATTGTATCAAAAACAAAATGGCCCCTAGTCTTCCTAGAAGGTCATCTTCCCAAACTCCAAATCTGGGGAGGATGTTTGCAATGTTATTAACAGATTAACTGGATTTACCCAGAATATAAGTGAAGTGCAAAACTGAGTAGCCCACTGTAATATATCCCCTGAGGTTTCCTTACCAAGACAAAAAATTGTCTCAAATATGTTAAAACATTTTAAACAGATAGCAAGAAAGTCATCAAATCCAGTAACGCAATCTATACTACTGACTTTCTGTAGACTAAGACTGCAAACAGCATTGTTCTAGAAAGAAGGCAGATGAATAATTGACTAATGTATATTCATTGAGGCGATCAGACTGTTTCATTGAGCTTGCAATGGGCGCCACATCACTGTGCCTTCTCTAGAAACCCAAGGAATCCCCATGGTAAAACAATTACTCACGGCAATAAGCTGGTAGGAGTTATTCATCATGGCAATGAGCATGTTCAGCAGCACTACCAGAGAGATCACATTGTATGTTCCAAACATAGTAGCTCCCACAAACTCGGTGAACTCGTGCCTGGCCTTCACATTAGTGACATAGAGATTTAAAAGGCCAAATACAGACCAGAAGAGTGACTGGAGGGTTTCAAAGAGCCTGAAAGAGATGTGAGAACAAAGTAGTTCTATGAATAATGTGAGTAAAAGAGGGAACATGAGGTATTCTATGCGGGAAGTCAGATTTGGGGCAGGTGACTGGCATGCTCTTGCATATTAGTCTCTTTGTTACCATAACAGTGTAGCCAGGACATTGCATTTGAACACTTTGTTCTTCTTTCTGGGATATTATCTGTCCCCTCTCAGTGTACTGGCAACCTAAAAATGCTCAGAGTTTATTCCACGGGCCACTTCCTCTTCTAACCACCTTTCCCACCTTCAGACCATGTTATTGACTGCTTTCCTAATTATTTGGGGTCAGCACATTCAGAGTGAAAGAGTATGGAGCTTTACAAGTTGGAGGTGGTGGGGCTGGAAAGATGGCTCAATGGTTAAGAGCACTTGCTGCTTTTCTAGAGGACCCACATTCAGTTCCTAGGGCCAGACCATGACTGCCTGTAACTCTAGTTCCAGGAAGTCTGTCTCTGGCTTCTGTAGGCACCTGCACTCATAGGTCTACACTGACATAAGGACACACACATCACTACGTGTAATTAAAAATGATAAAAAACTTTTAAAGTAAAGCTATGTTGAGCTATACTGCACTAGGTTGAAATCTCAGTTGGCTCTTGCTTTCTCTCACTCATTGAGTAAGTACATGAGGGCAAGTTGTCTTCCCCCTCTATTTTTTTTTTGGTCCTGGGGATGAAATGTAGGGCTCTACATATGCTAAATATGATCTCTACCGCTGAGTTTTACCCCAAACAAAACCTGCCACTTTATGGTTCTTATGGGGCTCAGTTGGTACTAAGCTCAGTGGAAGAGCTTGATGAATCTCAAAATAATAAGTTATATATTTTAATGGTATACACATTAAGTATTCTTAAGATCTCTCTATAGAAGCAGTTTTTACATGTTCTTTTAAAAAATCTTCACAAGGTCTTCTGGCTCACTTGAACTTCCTGTACAAAGTGGGCTCAAACTCAATGAGATTTGCCTGCCTCGTCCTCCTGATTGCTAGGATTAAAGGCCTATACCATCACATCCTGGCATGTTTTCCATTTTTATGACTACATTATCATGACTCATAAAACTTTACTGTAAAAAACCGTAGCTTTTATAATAGAATATTGGTTACTAATCTATAAAGTGATGTGGCACTGCAAATAAAGGGGAAAAACAGGTGATGGGGACCTTAAGGACAAACCCTAAAGAAGGTTTTTTATATGATAACTAGAGGATTTCAAAATCTGTGGAGGAAATATCAACTTTTTAATAAATAAGAAACCAATATATTAAAACTCTTTATTGTTATTGATGATGTTACATTCAGAGATTGATTGGCTCAAGGACACTCAGCTAGCAAGTCCTGAGCCAGAATTCAAGGGCAGGTCTTCATGACCTTGCCAAGCCATTACATCAGTCTCTATTAGATGGCTTTGCAAATTATTGCTTCCTGTTTTAGTCTCCATACCCAAATGTGGAACTTTGCAGATATATTTTTGGCACCTGGGGTTTCATCTCTCTTGAATTCAGAAATCTGCCTACAGCAATACAGTGCAGTTAGCTCACGGGGGGCACATAAGTCATTTCCCAAGTCCAAAGAATTGTAGAACATAAGAAACACGAATCTAAGAATGAATACACTTTTTTCAGTTTGCTCAAAGCATATGGTTCTTCATTTGCAAGGTGGAGTCAGGAGTATCGGGAGTATCAGGTGTTCAGTGTTATCCACGACTCCATAGGGATTTGGAGGCAGCATGATCTATGCGAGATGGTCCCAAATTGGAAATAGGAAAGTTACACTCATAGTTCTTCATCTTCTTTTTTTTTTTTCATTACTGAAGATGGAACCAAGGCCTTGCACATGCATGTAAATGCTTTCCCACTAAACTATACCTCAAACCCAGGAATTTGTTTTCTTTTAAAAAAAGATCTTATCTCTTTGGGTTGTTTTAGTGCATCTGTAATGTACATATAATAATTATTCTAATTTGTGGGATAAAGTTTTGATCCAGGTGGATTCTGTGTGGTGACCACGTCAGGTTAATCACCATCTTTACTGTCTCTAGCATCTGTCATTTCTTTGCGGTGAAACATTAAAATCCACTCTTTTAGCCAGTTTGGAATATACATTAGCTTTATCTAGAGTCACCCTACCGAGAACAAGGACCCCAGGACATTTTGCTCCTATTTTAGTGCACCATTGTTCCCATTGACCAAGCTTTCCCCTCTCTCCCTCCTCCCTCCTTCTCTTCCCAATCTTTGAGAGGTGCCATTCTGTTCTAGTACTATACTTCTAGAAGCTTACATTTATCCCCATTTCAAAGCTTACATTTTGTTTGATGCAAGTAAATATGAAATGATGAGGCATTTGAGAATCAATAGTAAGATGGGAGTCTATAGTTCACGGGCCAGGACATGAGAAGCAAAAAAATATGGCAAATGCTGGGATTACAGATCTATGCCACTGTCCTGACTCATGCAATGCTGGGGGTAAAGAACCTAGGGCTTTATGCAAACTAGGCACACACTCTGCCATCTGAGCCTCATTCTTACCACCTCTTCTGAATTTCCAGGAGACTGGAAGTCAGAACTAAGCAACATGATGCATCCCACAGGCCATCAGAAGACTAAAATTATAGAGAAGATACGGGGCGCAGAAATCTAGTTCTGCTAAGAGGACACAGCACAAGTGATTTTTACACATTAGAAGCTAGGACCACGAGGACACCAGTAATGGAGCAAAAATTTAGCAGAGCAGTTAGATGCTATAAGTTAAGGTATCTAGGGCTCAGAAAAAAGGAAAATAACTATGATACATAGAAATTACATCCTGAAGCATCAGAGATAGTAAGAAACTGAATATACTCAAATAGAGAAAATATTCAGTATCTGTTGATTGCACAACAGACAATAATGCCATAAACAAGGCATTAATAGGCTCTGAGTTAATTGCTTCTCCTGAATGGACTATGTTAAGTTCCTTCACCTACTTTTACATCTGCAAAAAGTAAAATTTCAATGGTTAATATTGACACACAATTCACTGCTACTTGTTCTATTGGCTCATACAAAGATTCCATAAAAGTATACATTTGAGAATGTAAAATCCACCTTCTGGATAAAGTGGTACAAGAAGAGGAAAAGGAGAGTAATGAGGAACATTATTCCTCAATGGTAGATAGAAAGAACTCCTCAACAGGGCACACAAATTGTCACAGTGTGATCTGGTCACCAGCAGAGGCTGGCTTATTGAATGGCATGCTCAAGTAAAATAAAGGACTTGACTAGGTGTGGTGGCATGTGCCTTTAATTCTAGCAGTTGGGAGGCTGAAGCAGAATGATCTCTATGTGTTTGAAGCCGGCTTGGTTTACATAAGAAGTTCCGTGACACTCAGGGCTACAAAGTGAGACCCTGGGTCCAGAAAAGTTAAGAGGGCCTGGTATATACAATGGACAAGACTATTTTAAAAAGATACTGGCAAGAAACCCCATGACTTACAGAAACAGTTGAATTGTCGGCTGACTTTATAGGGGCATTACTTATTCTATAACAAAATCATCACAGAAATGGATAAACACATTAACCAAGTTCTAATACCAGTGGGAAAGTGTTGGGGACTATTATTTTAAGGTGTGTGACCTGTGTGTATGCTGCATTTGTTTAACTCTGTGAAGTCGTGATTCTTTGCCTGTCTAAAACACCTGTTGGTCCGAATAAAAAGCTGAATCGCCAATAGCAAAGCATAGAAAGGATAGATGGGGCTGGCAGGGAGAAAGTATAAGTATAAGGAGAAATCTGGAAGTGATAAGAAAGGAGCAACAGAGAAGGAGAGAAGGATGCTAGAGGCCAGCCATCCAGCCAGCCATGGAGTAAGAGTGAAAGATATGCAGAAGTAAGAAAAGGAAAAAAGAACCAGAGGAAAAAGGTATACAGGTTAATTACAGTTAAGAAAAGCTGACTAGGAAAAAAGTGAAGCTAAGGTCGGGCACTTATAATTAAGAATAAGCCCCCATGGCCTGGAGAGATGGCTCAGCTGTTAAAGGCTAGGCTCACAACCAAAAATAGGAGTTCAGTTCCCAGCACCCACAGCTGTCTCTCAAGTCACAAAAAAGAAGAATAAGCCTTCATGTGTGTTTTACTTGAGAGATGGGTGCTGCCACCCCCCCCCCCAACAAAAAGCAAAAAGAGTGAAATATCACACAGCAGGACAGCCTTTCGATTTCAAAGGAAATACTTTTGGAGAGGTCAGTCAGCCAATTTTTGTTCAGCAGCAATAAACATATGGAAGGGGCTAGCTCAAAAAGGGGCACATGCTGAGATACAAAGGTTCTAGGACACATGATAGTGAAGGAATGGAAAGCAAGCCCACACTAGGTGCTTGAGGCAAAAAACTAGCATGTGAGGAGCCAGCCACAATTAGATTACACAGCTAGGAGGGCACAGGCAAAAGAGATGGCAGCTGCAGTTCTCGGGACATTTGCTGCATATCTTTCTGAGGGGCAAATCTTCCAAAGGAGAGGAGTGTGGAGAGAATTTATCCCTCTGAACCTAATTCCAACCAGGAAAGAAGAACTAGAAGGTGAGTTGGAATAGAACAGCTGCTTGGGAAAAAGAAATGACACCCTCTTGTGTTTCACCATTTAACTGGATTTTGCTAGACCTTATAGAGGAAAGGAAGGTTGAGGCCCTTTGTCATCAACCCATATTGAGCTCATGGGACCTACTGTTTCTCACTTCACCATGCCCCTGACAAACTTCCTTCTCCGGAAAGAATGTGCTTTTCCTGTAGCCCACTTGGTCCAACTTTTGTTTGACTTCCTAGGCTTGGATAAAGCCTCATCTCCTTTGAATGACTGCTCTAGCTACTTTTTTTTAAACAAGATAGGCTTGGCTATTCCTCTTTTGTGCTTCCAGGTACTCTAGTATTAGCCCACAGAGGGACAGAACATAGTGGAAAGACAGTAGAGGAGAGTGGCTAAGGTCAAACTTTACAG